TTTTCGGATGACTGTTGAAATTCCACCCGACCGCATCACCAGAGACAAGCACATGTTCTTACACGTGGTACTTTGTCTGGGCGACAACGTTCTCCAAGCTCGCAAGATCTTCTCCTACCGCATCAAGGAGATTACTGGCAGAACCCCTAAAATCCCAGCTTTCTTCTTCGAACAAAACCGTCGACGACTACATGATTGGGATTCAGTCACCACATTAGCCACGTTGATGCCGGTGCTTTTTGTTAGAACCTGTTCGGATCAGGAAATACGACAATCACCCGACCGCTAATGACAGCGAGAAAAGTGCGCCATTCACTCCTATTGCCGCGCATTAGACCTTTCACTCCACTTGAAGCATGTACGCCCCATTGGGGCTGTGTGTGTGTGAACCTCCCTAGCACATGGGAGCAGAGGGTCACTCCTACACTGTTTGCAATTTCGCTTTTCAACACAATCCGGCATTGGACATTTACTAAATCAACTGTTGCAGGGGGGCAGGACATCTTTAGCAGTGCCTGCCCAACGAAGAGGCTGCTAAGAGATGCTGATGCGACAGAGGACGCTCTGTTGTGTACCTGCACAACACAGCTGAGGCCCCTGAGCCAGCAAGATTAGAAGGCCCCTGTGCCAAGATTAGAGAGTTTTTCAGTTGCCACTTTTGGTGGTTGATTTGACAACAAACAAGTTGTACGGTTGCCACAATCTGACAAACTTTTGCAACATGAACAACATGCCTCTCTTTTTCCTCTTGCACTCGTACTCTTGGCCGAATCCATCAGTGTGTGTGTGTGTGTGTGTGGTATGTGTGTATGTGTGTATGCATGTTTGCGTGTATGCGTGTATGCATGTAGGTGTGTCTGCGTGCATGCATGTAGGTGTGTCTGCGTGCATGCATGTAGGTGTGTAGCTGTGCAGGCGTGTATGCGTGTATGCGTGTAGGTGTGTAGCTGTGCAGGTGTGTAGGTGTGTGTGTGTGTGTGTATGTGTGTGTATGTGTGTGTGTGTATGTGTGTGTATGTGTGTGTATGTATGTGTGGGTATTTATGTATGTGTGTGTGTGTTTGTGTATGTGTGTACGTGTATGTGTATGCCTGTGCGCTTGCCTATCATTTGTACGTGTACGTATGTGTGTGTATGTGTATGTGTATGCATATGTACGTGTGTGTGCATGCTTATATATATATGTGTATACACACATGGGTTTCTCATACTTACTGGGATGTGTATATACATATATATGTATATACATATGAATGTAGAGAGGTGTACATACCTTTACATATGTACTTGTGCATGCATGCACGCATGTGCGCGCGCGCGTGTGTGTGTGTGCGCGTGTGCGTGTGTTTATTTGTACGCCCTTCGGTAGGTAGGCAGGCAGGCAGGTAGGTATGTATGTAGAGTTTGGTCTGCCGCGAGCGAGGCTTGACGTGTGTTTTTGAAGGGCGTTGTCTTTCACAATGAGGGAGGGCTCAACATTTTGTGGGGTTAGGCTTTCTTATGCAAGGGTTCACGGTGGAACCTGCTGAGTGTTGCGAATGGGTCCAAGACAGGTGCCCTTGAGTGTATTGTGAAGCCGTTCTGAGGCATGCAGTCCAAGATCTGTTATTCCTTAGCGCTTGGCAGCGAAAGAATGCCCGCAATGACTGGCGCAGGCCGCATGCTGCAAGCCCAGGTCCGTTCGCCGTAGGCGTGTATCGGCTTGTCGGTCTCACCCTTTGTTTTCAATGTTCCACGTGCTGGGCCAGCAGAACCTCCCAAGCATTATCAGCTTGCGATTGAAATTGGTAAAACCGAGCCCGTCAGCTCTCCTGAGGTTGCGAAGCCTAGAAGTACAGGGCTTTGTCTGAGTGTTCTGATTCTTTGCTCAGAAGCTGCATCGCAATCCTCTGCACACCTTGTAAACAAAGCAAGAGCCTGATATTGCTTGCCAAACATGATGATGTTCCGGGCCTGGCACTCGACGCCTCGCAATTTCTCTAAGAAGGGGGTGCCAGGAAAAGAAAGAGCCGCATGCCGCGTCGAATGGAAGGAAAGCAGTCACATACTTACCTTGCCGGTAGAACGCATGCGAGGCTATTCGCGATGGTTCGAAGTAGATTGGAGGTGTTACCACCTGCCTTGTTGCATGGTCTGCAGTATGTCGCAAGTCTCTGTGCATTGTAAGCACCCTTCTCCTTCTTTCGAAGCATCCTGCGACAGAACTGCAGATTTCAGCAAGGCCTTAGGTTTACGAGGGCCTAAGTCCCCTCGGCTGGCTTGAAAGACCACTCCGACGGCAGGAGAAGGCGTTGTTCATCGTGGATGCAGAGGGCCTCTTGGCTGCGATGGGTTTGAGGGCCCGGAGCGCAGCGGGGTTTGGGTTTCAAGCTGGAGCCTTAAAGAGCACTACAACAAAACGAGCATAGGACATAGAGGAGGCTTTTTTCCTTTGATCCACCAGGAATCGTGCAGGACACTGGCATGACGTGCCGGGTCGCTGCCACACGAGGCCCACTGGCACAGAGGCCGCAGATTCATGAGCTTGCGAGGAAGCGCCAATGTGGTCTCCAAACAGTCATCGGAGTTCCCCAAACATCCGACATGTCAAGGGGTCACTTCGTCACTGTGTACAGACCGTGCTGTGCGGAAGGCTTCGCCGTCTCTACCGCAAGAAGCAGCGGCGGAGGTGCGCTTTGGGGGCCCGATCTTCAGCTCAGAGTGGCCGTGGGTTGGCTCCAGAAGAGGTCGCCGGCACCCGACTTCCCGGTCGCCTGCGCGCATCCGAACGGCAGGGAAGCTCGGAGGTGCAAAGTGAAGGTGTCCTCGGGGAATCGGAAGTGGGGCCTTGTGAATTGGAAGATTTCATCAAGGCATGTAGGTCCAAAGTTCTCCGATCACAGGAGTCATGCAGTAAACTCCGACTCAAGAGCAGGCTGGCAGTGCAGCCTAAGAAGAATCTCAAACATGATGATCATGGGACCTAGCACTGGCCATTTGAGGCTTTGTGAGCTGGGTCTTGCCCACGCCTCCCACGCCTCTCGGATGAGTTGATGTTCTAGAGAACTTTGGACTTTTGGGCTTTGGGGAGCGCGCTGTTTATCTAAGATGCAAGTAGGGTTGAGTAGGCCTTGGCATATCTCGAATCAACTTCACGCACGGCCGGAAAGCCCAAGGACCCCGGTTCACATGGCGAGCACTGCACCGCTGCATCCGCCCTGGACCTACAACGGCAGGGAACCAGTCGAATCCCTGCTCTCTCCCTCTGTCTCTCCCTCTCCTTCCCTCCCTCCTCCCTCCTTCCCCTCCCTCGCGCTCTCTCGCTCTCTCGCTTTCTCTGTGTCTCTCTCTCTCTCTCTCTATCTCTTGTCTCTCTGTCTCTCTGTCTCTCTGTCTCTCTGTCTCTCTGTCTCTCTGTCTCTCTGTCTCTCTGTCTCTCTGTCTCTCTGTCTCTCACTCTCTCCGTCTCTCCGTCTCTCCGTCTCTCCGTCTCTCCGTCTCTCCGTCTCTCCGTCTCTCCGTCTCTCCGTCTCTCCGTCTCTCCGTCTCTCCGTCTCTCCGTCTCTCCGTCTCTCCGTCTCTCCGTCTCTCCGTCTCTCCCTCTCTCCCTCTCTCCCTCTCTCCCTCTCTCCGTCTCTCCGTCTCTCCGTCTCTCCGTCTCTCCGTCTCTCCCTCTCTCCCTCTCTCCCTCTCTCCCTCTCTCCCTCTCTCCCTCTCTCCGTCTCTCCGTCTCTCCGTCTCTCCGTCTCTCCGTCTCTCCGTCTCTCCGTCTCTCCGTCTCTCCGTCTCTCCGTCTCTGCGTCTCTCCGTCTCTCCGTCTCTCCCCTCTCTCTCTCTCTCTCTCTCTCTCTCTCTCTCTCTCTCTCTCTCTCTCTCTCTCTCTCTCTCTCTCTCTCTCTCTCTCTCTCTCTCTCTCCCTCTATACATATATATATATATATATGTATGTATATGTATATGTATATGTACATGTACATGTACATGTACATGTACATGTACATGTACATGTACATGTATATGTATATGTATATGTCTATGTTTATGTCTATGTCTATGTCTATGTCTATGTCTATGTCTATGCATATTATCCCATGCTAGCAGAGCGAAGCGCGACTTCTCGTAGCATCTTCTTCTCGAATGTGGGCTGCCCTGCCCGAAGTCGCCAGGGAGCTTAGGTTCTGGAGCGGTTCCTGCAATAGCTCCCTTTCGGTCTGGACTGCCTTGGGCTTGAGCATCTTTTTCTGCTGCTTCGGTTGCATCCTCGGCTCCCTTTGCACTTCTTTGCTGCTCTCGGCGGCGGCTCGACGAACCTGTTCCTGGGCGCTGCGGTTCTTCGCAGCCTGGCTGGACTTGGCACCGGGCCCTCCTGCTAGGGCGGGGGTGCATTTGAGTCAAAGGTTGAGGGAATATCGTGAATGAGTGGCCGGGGCTCCTTGAGCAACTTACTCTTCGACTCGGTCGGCTCCGCATTTCTATCACTGAACAGCGGGGCGACTCTGGATCTCCTACTCCTTCTGTTGACTCCTTCGTTCTCGTGGAAGGGGACGACACTTCAGGCTCCCAGGCCGTTGCTACTTCTGGACCCCTTGCTGGGGGAGCACCTGCTCCTCGAGCGGCGGCTGCGCGCTCCACCGACGAGGCTTTCATTGCTGCCCGCACCCCTGAGGAGCTCGCTGCATTGAACCTTGGGGCCGGCCGAGCTTTGGTTCGGCGACTTTTTCCGGCACTTGGTCTTCGGAAGCGCGGATTGGCCGGGCCATTCGGGCTGGGATCTCTGCAGGACGTGTGCTTCGAGGTCTCCGGGACTATCAGGACAGCAGCCCTCCTCTGGGCACCCGAAATCGGGTGTACATTGTGCTGGCTTGTCCTTCCCGACCGGCAGGCTTCTATTGTGAAAGCTTCGCGGTCTTCCGCCAGCACTGCCCGCAGGACCGCCAGGGGCGGCTGAACCGCTCGATCGTCTGCCACGGCTTCCCTTCACGAGCTGAGGCGGAGGCTTTTGTGCAAGGATCTGGAACGGAATGGCCGCTGGAACTATGAATCGGGAGGAGATCGCTCAGCTCCTGACTGGCGCCCCTCCGGGTCGCCCGCTGCCCCTTGTGTACTTGGTCGACGACGACACCAACCCGACTGTGCGCATCACTGCCTTCCTTCTGCGGCGCCGGGCTGGCGGCTTTATGGTCGCCCTTCCGAATCTGGAACAAGTTTCGGAGCTTCTGGCAACGTTGTCTTTGAGCACCCCGGATGCCCAGCTGTATTCCACAGAAGCTGCCATTGCCTGCGAGACGCCACGTCGGCGCCCAGTCGGCGATGTCACTTTGCTGCTTGCAGATATACCTTGGGCTTGGCTTGGGCTCTTCAGGCGAGGGACGGCGATGCGCAGCTCTCCTTTGCAACTGCTCTCCATCATGTCAGGCTCCACCGTGGTGCGGCCTGTTTTGGAGGCTGCCTTGGAAGCCGCCGAGGTATGGATTGCAAGCGCGATGGGCGAGCCCGAGCTTCAGGAGTCCATGGGAGAGTATGCTACTGCTGCGGAACAGGCGGAGCACGAGGCCAACAAGGCAGAGGACGAGGGCGAGGGACCCGACGCCGAACTGGCCCGGCTCCGGGCCCAGGTCGCGGCTTTGGAACTGGCGGCGCAGACGCAGCCTCCACCTGCTGCTGGTGCTCGCTCTGCTCGGGCCACTGGCGCGCAGACCCGGCGAAGCGCTCGCGACTTGTTCCCCGAGGCAGGCGGCACTGGGCTGACTCCTGGCGACTTGGCCCGCTTACAAGAGGCAGCTGGAGCACCGTGGCAGCTTGAGTGCCAAAGGAAGCGCCGCGAGGGATGCTTACGTTCGGCTTCTGGAGGATCACCCTCAGGTGTCGGCCCAGATACGGAGGCTGGCGGCGATGGAACTGGGCGAGTCTGTGGAGGATCCGCCGGCGAGTTTGCTTCGCACCTACTTCGAACGACGGAGTCCAGTGGGCGACTTCCGAACGCTCGCTTTAGTGGGGACTTTTTGCTGGCCACGCTTGGGAGGCAGCACGCCGGTCGCAGAACCACGAGATGGAATCATGGTTCACCAGGCTGGCCCTTTTCGTCGACCAGGCCGCCACCGAAGGCGGGCGAACCCAGCTCGCTTGGTTGCTTGGGGGCCTGCCGGAACCTACCTGGACGACGATGGTCCGGAAAAGGCAGGGGCTGAAGCCCTTCTCGAAAATGTGTCCATCGCTGTGGGCCAGCGCCAACATCGCATACCTCAAGGAGCTGGACTGGATCGGTTCGCGCATGGCGTCTCAGGCCGGCGGGGGACAGCAGAAGGACGAGGGCGACGCGGATGCCGCTCCCTCAACGAAGCCGCCGCGGCGTCCTCGAAAGACGCCCGGAGGAGGGGACAGCTAACTTCTGAGAGGACTGCATGTGAGACCGGTCGAGCGGAGCTCGGCCCGTCTATAGCCGCCACCGGCGTGCCTTTGAATTCAGAGTCGCTTTCTTTTGACCCGGCCGGGGCTGACCCCGCCGGTCCGCGGGCTGAGCCGATGGGAGCTGCTGATACCAATGCCTCTCCCCCTTTAGGCCCCTTCCCGCCTGATCGCAAACTGCCCTTGAGCGAGACTTGTTTCGTTAGCTGGGTCTAGTTTTTTAGGTTACCTTTGGAGTGCTAGGTGTTGCTTGGGGTCCTTCCTTCGGGCTTCTCTTCGCGCTCCTGCCTGCACAGCTGTGCCTGACAATTGCTCAGGCGATCTGTGGCCTGTTCCGATGCCCGCCTGGGCTCGATGGACGGCTCATGCACAATGCACCCTGGGGCCCAGACGCCGCCGGCGGGCTAAGGTTTTTAGTGTAGCCTGGGAGCTGGTTCGCATTCAGATAGGGTGCCTTAACTGGCTTGCCTTGGGTTGCCCTAGTCGACCGCCCGACCGCGCTTGCGTCGGCACCGCCTTGACCGAAAGCCAGCGCGGCGTTCTTGATACTTTGGAGCGGCACTGCTTGCATTTCTTGCGTGCGGGGCGCTTCGCATCTTCAACCTTGGGTCGCAGCTCTGAAAAATTCGATCTCTTGTTCGGCTTGGCCTTGGAACTGCCGCAGTGTGACTTAGCTCCCGCTTCGGATGTGGACCGCATGCTGAACCAATTTGTTTCTGCGTTGCATGCTGACTGGGACACGTACACTAGGCCCCGGCCCTTCCCTAAGGACCCGCCGTCCTCCCAAGATGATCCCTCTCAGGCCACTACGCGCGGAGAGGCGGCTCCTCGCCCTGCTTCGGGTTCGCTTGGGGTTTGTTCTTTGGGTTCCGGGGCCAGTTGCAAGAAGGTGGTTGCCGATCGAATCAAGTGGACGCTGCCTCCGTCTTTCAATCCGATGCCTTTCTTCTCGGATGCCACCACCCGACGGGTTTACTTAGATCCCAATGCCCTTCGTTTGCCTGAGTCGCTCTGGCCCCGGCTTCCGCGAGCACAGGTGCACTGCTCTCGGGCCGAACTGCTGCGCTTGGCTGCGAAATGGGACGCCTTCCAGGCCCTTCGGCTTGTTCCTTGTACCTCTGTCCCGTTCCATGAAACGGTGGGTTGCTTCGGGGTTGCCAAGGATTCTTCCTTTGATAGGTTCATCCTCAACCCGGTTGTGGCTAACTCCCGAACCCAGGGCCTCAGTAAGTTCACTAAGCTCCTTGCCCCGGGGGTGTTGCTGACCTCTGCCCACTTGCCTTCAGGGGATCATGTACTTAGGTTCAATTGTGACGACCTTTCCGAAATGTATTATACGTTCTCGGTGTCGCAGGCACGAGCTCAGAGGAATACTTTGGGAGTTGCCTTTGATCCTTCCGAACTTCAGCAGTTCAGCGTGTATGATCCTATCGAGCACAACCAGCCTTGCTACCTTTCCCTAGGCACACTAGCGATGGGAGATTGTCATGCGGTAGAATTCGCACAGCAGTCACATTTTAATGTGCTAGGCTCGCTTGGAGGGTGTATGCGACCGCATGAATATGTCGCTTATCGCCGCCCGGTGCCGCGAACTTCGTGCCTCGAATTCCTTTCGATAGATGATCACCTGACTGCTCAAGTGTGCTCACGCGCCCAATTGAAGGGCTCTGCAGGGCTTCGGGACACAGCCATCTTCGAGGGCGCTGAACGGGCTTATCCTGCTGTGGGCTTGGTTCAACATCCTAAGAAAAGGCAGCGCAACGTCACCACAGGGGTTTTTCTTGGAGCTGACGCCGACGGCATTCAGGGCCTTGTTTCAGCCCCGCGGCATCGGATCGGCGTGCTCATGCGCATCACCGCGACCATTGCTCGGAAAGGCTGCTGCTCTTCTGACCTTTTGTCTTCGGTGCTCGGCTTGTGGATTCATGTGCTGCTGTTTCGCAGGCCTGCTTTGGCTGTGCTCCAGGCCGTCTTCGAAGACGCCCGTCGGGATCCACGAAACAGTGTACTGCCTTTGCAACGCGGGTCGATCAATGAGCTTTTCTGCTTGTGCGCTTTGGGCCCCTTACTGCAGACCGACCTTCGTGTCAATTACCCCGGCACGCTTTTCTGCATGGACGCTTCTCCCACTGGCGCAGGCCTGTGTGCGGCATCTCTGCCCCCGGCCGTGCTCAAAGAACTTTGGCGCCATGGTGAACAGAAGGGTTTTTACACTAAGCTTCTTGAACCCGCGAGCGCATTGCTCGCTGAGCTTGAGCTTTCAGATGATCCGGGGATTGACTTTGCACGGAATGTTGGGGATGGCGTTTCCGGAGCCTTCGACTTCGGTGTTGAGCCATTGCCTCTGAGGCCTGCGACTTCGGGGCCCGCCACTTTCTAAGAAAGTATCTGTTCGCGATCGACCCCACCTGGGACAATGCCTGCTTGAACCTTGGCCTTCACCGCGTTCCTGACTCCCTTTCCTTGGCTGGCTTGCGCTTCGAAGACCTTGCTTCGGATGATGTTTTTCATCATTTACGGGGGCTGCTGACGAGCGGTGCCGTTTTCAACCTTCATGTCTCGGCTCCAGCACTGTCCTTTGTTCCTCGTGGGCGCTGCCGCCTGCGTTCCTGTTCGTCTGCGGCGGCTTCGCACTGTCGCTCGGGTCTCCTTCGCCTTCACAATCGCCTTGCCCGTCGCTTGTGCTTTCTCCTTTGCCTCGCTGCTTCCTCGGGTGTCTACTTCAGCGTGTCACAGCCTGCTGCGAGTTTACTCTTCCGGCTTCACTGCTTTCGGGGCCTTGTCGCTCTGGGTGGCGTTGTCACGCGCTTGTTCTGCTGTGACTTTGGCGCCCCCTACAAGCGGGCCTTGCTCTTCCTGCACAACAAGCCCTGGCGGCTTCTGCGGCTGGCCTCCTCCGGTGATACTTGTGGCTGCCCTCCTGGAGCTAAGCACTTCCCGGTTCGTGGCACCTTTTCTGCGCCCTCTGTCGACGCTTTCTGTCGCGCTTGCAACCCGTCTGCCTCTGCGGTCTTCGGTTCTTCACCTGCGGTTGGCCAGTCGGTATCCAGCTTCTGTGCGGCTTATCCGGCTCCGCTTGCTCACCGGATTGCTTCGGGCTCTGCTTTGGCCGCTTCTGGTTATACGTTCCTCCGATGCCCATCGCTGCGTCTCGGGACACCCTTAGCGCCCTTGGGTTTAGTGGTTTAGGCCCTTTCCCGTTCGACCTTAGCGGTTTACGGTTCACTGCTAGGCTCTTTCACGACGACCCTGAATGGATCAGCGAGCTGGCTGACTGCCTCGACTTCCGCGAGCTTTTGAGGTACAAGTTTCGTAAGGGGGGCCACATCAACATCCTTGAGGCCCGTGCTTACAAAACCTGGATCAAGTGGTGCTCCCGGCGGCTTCCTCACAGCCGCCTTCTCGGGCTCATCGACAGCCGCGTTCTTCTTGGCGCGGCCGCCAAGGGCCGGTCTGCCAGCCCTGCTTTGTGTCGTGTGCTCAGGTCTGTGGTTCCCTACCTTTTGGGTGCTGGACTTTACCCTTGCGGGCTTCACGTGTACTCAGCTCTTAACAGAGCGGACGGTCCTTCTCGTGACAGGCCTCCTCCTGCCCCTTCGAAAGCGTTCCCCGCCTGGCTCGCCGCGCTCGTCAATGGTGACACTCGTCCCTTTGACCTTGTTTGCAGTTCGGCCTCCGTCCCTAAGGTCCTCGGCCGTTGGGTGCGGTTCCTCTTGCTGTTGGCCGGTGACATCGAGCGCAACCCCGGGCCTCCTTCCCGGCTTCCGCGTGGCAGTCTCGACTTGCAGTCCGGTTTCGCTACTTCCACTCGTCACAAGATGACGAAGGCGCTCGATGCTTTCATCCTTTGGCTTACGGTTGAGTTCGGCCTGGGCTTCGACGCTGCCATGTCGTCCTCGCAGTCTGCGGCCTGTGCCTTGCGTGCTTTCGGTCTTCACCTTTATACTCCAGTGGCTTCCCACGCTACTTGTTGGTCTACGCGATCACTTCCGTTCAAGACCGCTTTCCTCAGTACCGGTCGCACCTTTCACCGGCCTGGCAGATCGACCGGAAGTGGCAGTTGGCTGAGCCGGGCGAGTGCCGCCCTTTGATCTCCCAACCGATTCTTCAAGCTGGCATTGCGCTGGCCCTCTGTTGGGGTTGGTACGACTGGGCCGCTCTGACCTGTGTGGGTTTCCTCTGTATGCTCCACCCGGCCGAAATGATCCCATTGATCCGGCAAGATCTTGTGTTCCCTGAGGATGCCCTGTCTCCGGACCCAGTTGCGTATACGTGCACATACGCAGCCCTAAGACGCAGCGGTTCGCGCGCCGCCAGCACGCTAGTCTGGAAGACCCTCTCGTGCTCCGCCTTCTTGAGGCGCTTTACTTCGACCTGCCTTTGGGTGCCCGTCTCTTTCGCGGCTCATGTCTATAGACGGCAGTGGAACTCCATCATGACTCGCCTCGGCGTGCCATGCCATCTCTCGGAGAAGGGCGCTACTCCAGGGGTTCTTCGGGGCTCCGGTGCTACTTTCTTATATCTTGAGACGGAGGACCTGCCTCTTGTCGCTTGGAGGGGTCGTTGGAGTAAAACTAAGACGGTTGAGTTTTACCTTCAGGAAGTGGTGGCGCAGCTTCTGCTCCATCGCTTACTTGCTTGGTCACGAGAGCGAATACGTGTGCTCTCGTCCTTCTCGCGGCGCCTTCTTCTTGAAGTCATCGCGAATTGGCGGAGCCAAGTAAACTGGAAGTGGAATGGTGCTCTGATAGTGCCCTGCCGGCCTTTGCCTGTGGTTTCCTCCCCGAACCCTAATGCTTCGTTGTGGTTTAGTCCCCGGGGCCCCTTTCGGTTTAGGCCTGGTTCCCTGGCTCTGCCCGGCCTGCAGGCCACTCTTCTTTGGTGCCGGTGCAAAGCACCCGGCATGCGGGACACTTCGTGCGAGCAGGCGAAAATGGGATGCATATTTTCCCATGCTAGCAGAGCGAAGCGCGACTTCTCGTAGCATCTTCTTCTCCCCACCCACCGTGCCCAATGGTGCTCTGATAGTGCCCTGCCGGCCTTTGCCTGTGGTTTCCTCCCCGAACCCTAATGCTTCGTTGTGGTTTAGTCCCCGGGGCCCCTTTCGGTTTAGGCCTGGTTCCCTGGCTCTGCCCGGCCTGCAGGCTACTCTTCTTTGGTGCCGGTGCAAAGCACCCGGCATGCGGGACACTTCGTGCGAGCAGGCGAAAATGGGATGTCTATGTCTATGTCTATGTGTGTATATGTATATGTATATGTATATGTATATGTATATGTATATGTATTATGTATATGTTTATGTATTATGTATTATGTATATGTATTATGTATTATGTGTATGTATTATGTATATGTATATGTATATGTATATGTATATGTATATGTATATGTATATGTATATGTATATGTATATGTATATGTATATGTATATGTATATGTATATGTATATGTATATGTATATGTATATATATATATGTATATATATATATATATATATATATATATGTACCGTATTCTGGGCCAATCAGGCATAGTTCAGCCCTCCGAGGCCTGTCTGCCGCATCGACCTGGAGGGACATGCGCCTTGCCTTGGGTCAAAGCTGGGTTTCGAGGTGGCGGCAAGGGGCGCAGAAAGCCAGGAGACAGCTTCCTCCACTCACCGAAACTCGCAGAAGGAAGTCTCAACCTCAAAGGTCCACGACATCGCCGGTCTCAAGCCGCCACAGTCGCCTGCAGACGTCCACTGCTGGGAGAGGTGCGGTACAGGGTTCACATCATGACAAGGTTTTTGATCATCTTCGAGGTCTTGCAATCTCTACGAATCTCTTAGGACGGCCAAGTGCGCACGAACTAAGAAAAGGGAGCGTAGGATTTGGCAGGAGAGTTCGCTTTACACGCCCACTTTGAACTATGAGCCAGGGCGGGGCAGGGGTTTACATCAAAGTTGTGGGCTTGGTCTCAGGCTGCAAAGTGGTTTCCGAGCCATCACGCAAGCTGCCGTACTGTAAGGCTAAGGTTCTAGTCGCCAAGTGTGCGTCCTCGAGCCACTTGGTTTGAGAAACTCCGAAGGCCAGTCATGCAAGGCGAGCTTAGGAGATAGTTTGAAGCTTTCCAAACACTCTCAACCAGGCTGAAGCTCTTCCACAAGAAGAGGCAGGTGTCGCGTGTGGCCGATTCTGGATCCAGGTTGCAAACCGAGGGTTGAGGTCCACCGAGACCATAGGAGCCTCCCAGTGGAAAGTCGAAAAGAAAATGTCCCGAAATGGGAATTTCAAACAGTCCGTGGGCCTTTGTAAAGGCCGCAATCAAGTTTGAAAACGGCTGCCAGTACTGTATCTTGAAAGTCAAGAACCTGAACGTTCCGCCGGAGCCAAAACCATATAACCACAAGCCGAATGAGAGGGAGATCTGATTCGCCGTTCAGCGGCGACCTTACCCGCTGCCCGGGCATCCCACAGCAGGCCTGTCTGGTTCTCAAGCACCGACACCCCAAGAGCGCTGGATCCAACATCAGCAGTCCGACAGCGAGCTTCGGTATTTCTGTGCCAGGCACTCGCGATGGCAGGCCTTTTGTTTGAAAAGAGTTGACTGCAGCACCCTCGTGTCTTTTGGGGTGCAGGATCTGGCTGGGATTCCGACAGTTTGGAAGGTTTCCGAGTGAGGCGGACGTGTGTCCAACACGCTGAACATGCCGAAACCAGGTTTGGGATTTAGATGTCGTGGAGTGATATATGGTGCCAGACTGGTGGTTTCTTGCAATCGCATGTTACCCATCCCTCAAGATTGAGACCCCTGGTGCAGCCCTTACGCTTAGGTGGAACTATATTATCAATCTGTCTATCCATCCATCCATCCATCCATCCATCCATCTAACTAGACGCTAAAGCCTGCCGTTGTTCTCGGATGGTGGCAACAGACTCCACCCGGGCTTGGGCTTCTCGGCTTCTCCTGGCTCTTCTCCTGTCTATGCGCCGCGTCGAAAGACAGAGTCTGTTCAAGGTGGAAGCGACCGGCCACGTCAACCATCTGCACGAGGACTGGGACGATGCTCCTTGGCATGCAGGGACTATTCTGTTTGTTTTGGCAGGCGTTGTACTTCTCTGTGTCTCTCGCCCTCTCGCTTCCTGTCTGCCGTCAACTTTCGGGAGAGTGCGTGGTGCATTGGATGGCAACGATGCTGGGGCTTAGGTGGTTGGCATCCGGGATAGTGGCATGTCTTATGTGAAGGCTTTGAGAATTCGGTTTGGCACCTCCGTTTGAGTTGTCTCGGCCGGTACATCGAGCTCCGTAGAACAAAAAGCGGTCGACCACGGGACATGGGCAGGTGTATGTGAACAACTCCGGGACCACCACGCCCGTCATGGACTTCGGCCCAGCTATCCCCTTTGAAAGGACTCGAGCAAGGCTTAGCAGCTGAGCAAGGCTTGGAAATTGAGGCGATGTAGCAGAAGCCACAGAGGGTTTGAACTCTGCATCCGCGTTGTATCCGCATTCCACACTCCGCCGAAGGACCTGCAGCATGGACTCGGAGGGCGTGCTGCCACACGGCCTTGATGATTTTGTTGTGTTTGGAGCTTTTTTTGACGACTCTTGGTGTTCTATCCGTTCGGCTTTCGCGCGGGGATGCAACGATCAGCCCAGGCACTGCTCCGAGTCGCACCGCCTGGAGCGAACCTGTAGTATTGACTCGGAGGGCATCATCCACAACCTGGAGGTTCTCTTGGCCGAAGTTTCAGGGGGGTCGCTTGCAGCACTGCTTGTGGACTTGGGCCTTGGAGATGCAGATTTTGCCGGCTTCGGGTTCAGTGCTTGGTTGAGGATCAGGGGGGTTTGGCCGGTAGGTCGATGTGCCAGCGAGATGTTGATCAACAAAGAGGAAGAACTCTGTTCTATCTGCATGGCAAAGAACTTAATCCTCGTGAGCCCGAATGTACGATCACCATAGTGATGATTTGGGATAGAGGCTGGGATTTTCAGATGGGTTTAGGTCGAGTTGCTCAGCAGGTAGAATGGCTGACCTGGAGTAGGCTTGCTGAACAAGGTGCTAAAAGACAGAATCTTATGAGGAGGTGAACCCAGATCACCAAAGGAGAACTCCCAAGGAACACACCACCTGCTGCCCCACCGTCAATGCTTGATCAGGATAGTTGTAGTCGTAGCAACCAGGAACCGGGAAAAGAAGTCAACAGCCGCATTTGAGGAGATCGATGCTTCTCAGCCCTGCTTCGCAAGCAGGTCCAGACCGAGTCAGATTCAGGGGGCCTGGGGCACATGGAGCCCACACAGATCTCATGTCTACGCTATCTACGTGGTACAGGGCTTCAGCCTTCCGAGTGCAGTTCACACGTGATCGACATGAAGCACCGGCTGTGCCCTGGCCAGGCTGAAGCTGTACCACCGCAAGAAGCACCAGCGTGACCTCAAAGCTTCGGAGTGTCCTTTCCCAGAGGCCCGGGCCGCCCGGGCCCAGCCAAAGCCCAGGAAGCCTTTGACCTGGGCCGGGCCCAGTAGGTCACCTGGCTTCCGCATTTTAAGTCCGCCTAGACCTTGGCTGAAAGGGTCTTTTGAAGGCTGAACCGCTGACAGTGACTTGATGATCTGGGACCTTACGCCTTACATTTATCTCCGAAACGGAACGGAACGGAACCAAGTAGGCTTCAACTTCAGACCAGGACGAGGAGCACCATTCGAGGCTCGTCGTGAGTCTGGATGGGAGGCCGGAGGAGCTTTTCAATCAAACACGTTTCGGAAGTTCCCGCAGTTTTGGCAGAATCTGGACCCACAGCTCCAAATTCCCGGGGGCTTGCTGCTAAACCACTGCCCAAGAAGCAGCGTGTATCTCTGAAACTCGTCTGCCAGGGTTCAAGGCTGGCAGGAGTACGAGGAAGAGCCGTTGATCGTCCCTGTCATGTAGGCGCCAGGGCCATAGAACCGTTTCGGCTGGGAGCAACAGGTTCTTCTTGAATAGGGTGCGACACACATTGCTCCCGAGAATCAGCCGGTTGTCTTGGATCCGAAACAGTACTCGTACCTGCGACTCGTGCATTCAACTTTAAGGAATACTGAGAGGACTGCGATGCAAGGCATGGAATCGGCTTTACGCAACGAGATGCATCGCAGCCGCTTGAAACTGTCGAGATATGAAGAGATGTCTGTCGAGCCTTTGCTGAGGCGAGATTTGGGCAGCGAGCTGTCACAGGCAGTGAGAGGCCTTAGGCAGACGACCCTGACAGCTCTCAGTCTAGGCCCAGGCCGGGCTTCGTTAGTTGGAAATTCTGTTTGCGACCGTTATTTGGGCTCCGTAGCAGTAGACGGGTATTGGCTATGTCCTCTCATCGTTGAAGAGTTGGCACTTACGTGCACCACATCACTTGCCACGGGATGGTCCGAGGTCAGGTCCGACAAGGATCGTCTGTCTGCTAGCCTCGGGTGCTGCATTGGTTTGCTAGCTGCTGCTTCGGCCTTCCTTCCTGGGCATCGCCGGCACAGAATACACGTACTTGAATACACCCTTATCCTCAACCCTCTGTCAGTCGGTGCAGCACGTCGTCGTCGAGTCCCCGAGTTTGCAATGAGCTGTGAGGCCCCAGCTGGCAGGCCGCTTGTTAGCTGAGGTGCCAAGAACGCAACACCTCCTTCCGAGGAGCATAGCTTTAGGCTGCAATTCCGGGGGCCCAGACTTCAAACAAATGGAGCAGAAGGGCTCCATGAATGGGTTGAGAGGGTTGCGGTACTTTGTTGTCTGATTACGTGACCTCGGACGGAGTTGGTTCCTCGCGTCTTTGAATTATTTCAATTTACAACGCCTCAGCAAGACCCAGGTGCTGCTTTGCTTGTGCTGGGCGAGTGTGCTCTCGTTTCCACGGCTTGGAGCATGTTTTGTGTTCAGGGTTTGTCTTGCAACTCAGCATTTCGGGCTTTCACATCATAAAATCCTCGAGTAGCAAGGGCTCGAAAGCCTCAGCCATCTCGACTTCAAGGACCTGGGCTTTGATGAAAGTGAGAGGGGAGGAATCTGGAGTTCATGCACAGGCCAAGGAGAAGTGGGATCACGCACAGGTTGGTCTGGTTTCTTGCAAGTCCCTCGTGGGCCGGCCTCGCTTCAGGTTCACGGAATGACTTGCGTGCATGTCGGATCCCTTAACCTGCCATCTACATTAACCCTGCTAGCGACGGGTCCACGAGAGGTTCGTTGACCGCGAATGTACAAACACGAGACTTATTGCGCTTTGCGTGCTGCTTTCAACGCTTAGGGCGCCGCACGTAGTCAAGCTGATCAGTGCTCCAGTGAGATTACAGCACCACCCCTTTGAAAGACCGACCGATCTTTATGCTTCCCTCGGCTAGCGTGCGCCGCTAGTGACCCCAGTCGCGCAAAGTGCGATTACTACCTGGCAATGTACAGCTTCCAGATTCGGCGGTGCTCCGAGACCAGAGCCTGGGTTCTCGGTGCTGTGCCGCTTGGAAGGTCTACCGACATCGTGTCCATTTGAAGGCCAGGAACACAGAACATCCCTGGCCGTTCCGAAGGTGCGAAATAGCAGCGAGGTGATTCCGAGTCTGCCATCTGCGAGCTAGCCAGGACGTTGGAAGAATCATAGCGGAGCAAGCGGGCCGCACTCGGTAGCGACAACCCAAGCCAGAAGCCCCCAAGCCCCCTTCGCAGGCCGCTGTGCTCCAGCGATACGAACGACAGCTCGGGCCTCTCAAGGTAAGAGCTTTTGAAGGTCTCGACATGTCTCGACCCGTTGAATGTCCTTAGGGGCGAGCACCACTGGGTAGAAAGTGCTGCACTGGCAACTCAGGTCTTTGAGGTTGCCAGTTTGCAGATGTGCATGCTCATCTTCATCCTTTCCGCCCTACCCAAACGGCTCTTTGGTGCCAATGCTGAGCCATCACACTGCTGGCCAGGTGTGGGGCAGCACACACGGGACCACTCTGCAGTTGCTATGGGCTAATGCCCGCCCCGAAGAGGCAACAGAGCATTGTGAATCGCACCCTTGTGGCCAACGCCCTGTCGATGATCGGCAGTGCATGACAGCAAGACGATGCGCTAACGTGCTTGCTGGGGGTGCCCAGTTTGGCGAGACTGGCCGGTGTGCAGGAAGGGGAGGCCTCAATGTTCTGCAACTTTGATTCTCATGGCAACGGTATGCGTCAATGATTAATCCAGATCCAAGCTTCTGCTTCTGTACAGCACTTGTAGTTTGCGCAGCCCTGTGGATTCAAACTAATGTGCTGCGCAGAATGTCCCTTGAAAGGTGACCGGAATGGTACAGTCGGCGTCATTTTTGTATCCTGCGCTTCGATGTCTTGTTCATGTTTTTGCGAACATGTTCCGACAAGCGTTCACCGAACAGGTTGCTGCCTTGATGAAACACGGTTGTCATGCGACTCCTGCGAGTTCCAGGGATTTGTATTCTCGGAGGTTCGTGTATTCGACTATTCAAGCGCAGCGTCGTGAGACGATCAGTTTCACGGCGCAGGGTGGGTTGCCCAACGCGGAACAGACTGCGATCACCGAGCACATTCAAAGCAGAACGCAGGCAAGGGGTTCATAACTGACAAATGTACTGTTTGTTGCGTGTCGCAAACCGCACAGCAGGGTTTCGCAGGTAGAGAGGGTTTGACATCGAAACTACTGGAGCATACGAAGGCCTTGGAGGGACGACCATGCAAGGACGGACTTTCGCGAGACTTTGTCTTGCTCATCTTCATGCTTTCCGCCCTACCCAAACGGCTTTTTAGCGCCGATGCTGAGCCATCACACTGCTGTGGCACACTCAGGTGTGCCGCAGCACACACGGGACACCCTCTGCAGTTGCCATGGGCTATGCCCGCCCCGAAGAGGCAACAGAGCATTGTGAATCGCACCCTTGTGGCCAATGCCCTGTCGATGATCCGCAGTGCATTACAGCAAGACGATGCGCTAACGTGCTTGCTGGGGGTGCCCCAGTTTGGCGAGACTGGAGTGTGTGCTGGAATTGGAGGCTTCAATGTTCTGACTTTGCCGGTGAGGTTAGTTTTTCCTCTTGACATGTTGAGGTCAGCGAGAGACGCGTGAAACTTGCCAGCGCCTCTGCTTCCGCCTTTCGAGTCCAGCTTTCTCCCTGAAACTATGCCAAAGCCATACTAGAGAGTGCCCCGATCCCTCAGTTCTCAACGGTCCCACGAGTGCGTGTAGAGTTGCCAAGTACTTTCGGTCGGAAGGTCAGCACTTTGGCCGTCCTGCCGGCCAGCGGAAAGCGGAAGACCACGAAGGCCAGCTGAAGCCTTTCCTTTAAGGTGCTCTCGGACTCGGCTTTTTTTCCTTTCTCGCACTCCCGTGCTTTCCCTGGCTGCCCGAGGCATCGCCAGAGGAGCCGGGGCCGCCAAAGGGGTTCGGGGGCGGTTTCGAGAATCGTTTTCTCCTTGTACGGGATACGCTCTGTTTCCAATGTTCCATCACCAGGATTCTTCGGTGGATGACATTCCTGGTGCGGTCCATGTGCTGTGTTTCGCTGTACGGCGAGAAGTCGAGCGTTAGCCGTCGGTCTACGTTCAGGAGTTGTACTCTGTGCTCTGTACAGAAGAGCCTTGCTTTAGCCTCGAGCACCCCCAGATTGCGCAGTCAAGAAGCTGTGGGGTTGAAGGCCCTTCACTTCGAGGCCGGGGGCGGCCGGGCGGCCGGGCGGAAGCCGACCCTCGGAGAAGCACCGAAAAGCGTCCGTTAACACTTAAACACTTTCCCGTTCTCCGCAGAAGGGGGCGATGGCTCAAGGTGACAAGGGCAGGGGCTGGCCATGGCAGGCGCCGGGTAGGGCCGGAGAATACAGGACGGACCTGAGGGAGAAGAGATTAAGAGGAAGAGGTGGGAGAGGAGAGTCGTGGTTTTTGCTTGTTTTGGTTTTCGGGCTCGTGCTCGTGCTCTTTGAAAGACGCCCCCCGCCGGGAGGTGCCCACACTCCCGGCAACCGCCTGGCCTGGGGAAAATTCAGGCAGGGCGGGACTGTTGACTATTGCTGACGTTTTCTGGCTTGAGGATCTTGCGGTGTAAGGCCTGGGCGCGTCGGGAGCTGGTTCTTCTTGGTCACCATGGGAGGCTTCTGCACCTCTGCCGCTGGGCTTTCAAGGGGAGGGTTCCAGCACAAGGTGGGACTCAGCCTGGGTCCTTTTGGTTGGTTTGCAAGTGGTGCAAGCAGGGAAAGAGGCAGCGCTGTAGGGACGATTCCACCGGCAGGATGAGCGACGAACAGGTGCTCGACGGACCAAATGCAAGTGCCGTTTGTAGCGAAGATTTGTGCAAAGTGTTCAGCACGCACCTTGGAAGAGCAGAAACGCTGTAAACAAAGTAAGTAGCAATACCGTGGCCAACACTGCCGTATTTTTCGTAGACTCAGAAACCCTGGCAGAGAGAACACACCGAAACCAAGATCTGTTTGATTGCAGATCATGTCGCGCGCAAAGTGTTGTAAAAGAGCCAGGCAAGGAAACTACGCTTCATGTTCACCGTCTGTTAGATGCCACTTCAGTACAGATTCCGGGTGTTTCGACAGATTTTGGATTTCCATCAACGGCCAATGCACGGAAGCCTTGGGAAGAGCTGTTCGCTGCAGCCTCGCGGATACGAACGCTTCCAGGTTTCGAGCATTGCTTCCGAAACTTTCCTGCTCTTTTGAGAGATGGGGGGGTCCGTTGCTTAGTGCAAACCATTGAGTACATCTGAAGACGCTTGCCAATGTTTGCACTAGAGGATTTCACAGACGACTCAGGGAAATTACGAGGTCCAAGATCTGGAATCACCAGTGCCTTCGTTTTTGCTCTCCGAATCCCCTGCAATACCGCTTACAGCGCCTAGGCAGACCCTGTCCGCGTCTTCAGCCTCGCCGTCGGCGCATGGGGCCCTGGTTTTGGCTTGCTGCATTAAGGTGTAGAGTGTGAGGGGGAATTCGATCTCTTACAGGGTCTATCGCTTCGTCGTCAAGGGGAGAAAACCGTGGGATTCATCGGTCCGTTTTGCCTCGCCTGGCAAAGTACGAAACAAACCCTTCAGGCTCATTGTATACGTGAGGTGGATTTGGGGCCTCTGTTGTCAGTCCTTTCATGAGATGCTTCAGGTGTTTTGGGGGTCTGGCATCGACGGTGTTCTAAGACCCAAACAGTCTACCTGCAAGCTTGGCACAGCAGAACACGCACCAGAAAGTGGCGGGAGCACGGAAACCACGGAGAAGCGGCGAGTCCCTCTAAGGGGCGCCTCGCTCCGGAATCCTTCTCCTAACCTAGCATCCCCATGCAATGTGGCCACACCGTTTGATGGGGCCTTCAACTCCCAGCCATCAAGGCACTGTGCCAACTCGCTGCTTTCGCCCCCTTGGCCAGACAGCGGGCCTCTGTGGCAGAGCGTTCGAGGTGAGCTTTACACCGGTCCGCGTTTCTTGCGATCTTGGCATCGTTCGGAGTTTCTCGTGTCTGGGCTGCGGGCTTCCAATGAGTTAGGGCATAGAGCTGGAGTGAGGCATATTACTAAAGGCCGCAATGAGAACCGCTCGTGCAGAAGAAGGAACATCGCTGATAAGGCTCCCTGAAGTTCTTACTTAGATCACCAAAGCGACCCGGATCTACTTTTCAACAGCGACGAAAGGTGTCGAGCCGGGTTATGTCGCCCAAGCTCACGTGAGAAGCCAGGAGGGTGCTTGAGGGTTGGGGCGGTTAGGGTTTCAGGGTTTTGTTTGGGTTGCGGTTTTTTCGGATTGAGGGTCTTGGGTGAGGATGTGAGGATCTAAAGCCCAACAAGAAAAGGCGTTGATTGGATCCATCTCCTTAACAGTAGCATTCGCCAAAGAAGGAAATACTAAATCCCAGATTTACCTGTACGAGTCCCTCCTGGTAGCTGTTGCTCGACGGGGGATGTACATCCCAGGCTCCCGGAAAATTAAAGCTTTGGTTCGGAGCCCAGTCATACAAGGCCTGCATGCGTCCGAAGGACGTCCGCCCTCCCTGGCGTCTAGAAGCCGGCCAGCGCCACGAGGCGCCTGTGGCGTGGCCAGAACTCAGCTTCGCTTGCGGGTTTGAGGTCTTAAACCTGAGCTTGTGATAGACGCAATTGTGCCTTTGGTTCTGGAGTTCACGTGGCTGTGGTACCAGAAATCCTCATAAAAGAGATGAGATGGTCGCTAATCAACCCGGAGACAGCTGCGACAGCTCCGATGCTGGACACCCCAACCTGCACCGGGAGCCAGAAGTCGAAGTGCCGTCGAGCGCACATTAGCCAACGCTAGATCGCACAGATGCTGCACACTTCTCAGAGGTGTAGGCAAGTGTAAATGACTTCTTGGCCAGGCTGGCTGTTTTTGAGGCATGCTGGTTTGCGGTGGGGAGGGATGGGCACTTGAGTGGTCTGATCGCCGAGCGCCGAACGTGCTAAGGAGTTGCTGCGGGATGAAGATGAGACTCCGGTTTTCCTCCAAAGCCGTCGCCTCAGAGCAAGTCTGGGGCCACAGGCAAGGCTACTCAGGTCTTTGATTTCTGGCGGTAGCCTGTGACCGCAACGCTTCAAGCGGTAGCTCCAAGCCGAGGCCTTCCCAGAGGGATGTGCCTGTGCATGCAACGGCACCTGCCCAACAGCTTTTACAGCTTTTAAGGCTCCAGAACGCTTCAGGGCTCGAAATGCATCACAAACGCGAGCTCAACTCGTAGCATACTTCCCCGCCTGGTCACCGAGGAAATCGGACTCCCGAGGAAAGGCTCGGCTACAGAGACGGGGATCTTGTGAAAGGAAGTGGAGCATCTTGAAATTTAGGAGTCATGGTAATGCGGATATGCTATTAGGTTCTGCATGGGGTCCCTTATAACGTGAAGCTTTTGTTGAGTCAACTAGGTTAGCTGCTTGGATCCGTGCAAAAGCAGAATGCATCTTTCTCGCGGCACCAAGTCATCGCCTGACCAAGCTCTGCGCAGTCCGCGAGTGCCGAGGGAGCTCAAGCTGGAAACCTGCAGTCTTCCTGAATGCCACAAAGAGTGTCAAAGAGTGTGCAGGAAACGACAATGGAAGGACCTTTTGTGGATGAATGTGGTGCAGTGCCTCCAGAGCTGCCGCAGCTCTGCACCTTTCAATGGTGACTACCTTTGAAGACAATTTAGCAAGCCATGCATGCCATACACACTTCATGGTAGCTACAACACTTGCGCTGAAACCAAAGACTGCGGCACCACCCCTGCAACTACTTTCCATGCCTTCTTGTGCTATGCGATGTTGTGCTGAAATTTGCTAATATGTACCTACATCCAGAGCTGAAGTTGATGGGAGGGTGTGTTTGTGGGAAGGGTTTCATAAAAATCCGATTCGTGCCTTGGAGGTGGCAGCTGCATGTCGCTGGTCAATGCCTGCCGTGCCTCTTCCATGCCCGCTCGGTTGCAATTGAACTGAAGTCATCCGAAGTGCGGTGTGGCATTTGCCCATGATGCCGAAGTATGCAGGTCAGTGACATGCTTGATGCAAGTTGAAGGGTGCCCGTCTTGAGTTGTTTGGTGTCTACGTTGTGAAACCTGATGTTCTGTTGACTGATGCGGCGCATGGCCATGCTGCAACCCCTTAGGCACGAGACCTGAATCAAAACTCTCTGCCGATAGGACACTGTCAAGCGTTCGTGCTACACCCGACAGTTGCCCTAGCATGTGCGAAGCTAGTACTGTCCAACCATGCGGAAGCGCCATCTCGGTTTCATTGGATCCTCTCTCAGGTGAAAAAGGAAGACGGTTGCGTTTGACTCAGCTTGGATCGGTAGGGGGTTGTGCAACACCGCCGGCCCAGTTTTGGTTTGAACGGGGGTTTCAAATCCAGTCTCAACTCGTGGCTTGACAGAGGGAGAGACAGAGAGAGAGACAGAGACAGAGACAGAAACAGAGAGATGGACAGAGAGACAGACAGAGAGACAGACAGAGAGACAGAGAGAGAGACAGGGAGGGAGACAGAGAGAGAGACAGACAGAGACAGTGGCAAGGAGAGAGACTGATAGAGACAGTGACAGACAGTGGCAGACAGAGACGGACAGAGACGGACTGAGACAGACACAGAGACAGACGCAG